GTCGACCTCCATAGATTACGCTGGTTGGGACATGTGCTACGCATGTCACCATATAGTTTGCCACGGCGAGCGATGCTTGGCAAGGCACAGAGGGGGTTGGAAAAAAATGAAGGGCGGTCAAGCTAAGACCTGGCATGAGGGTATGAAAACTCTGATCAGAAGACTGGCTCACATAGGTCCCGTTAGGCCCCCTGGTTGGGATCCCAGAGATCATGGTCACCGTTGGTTAGAGAGACTGAGCGATATGGCTGGGTGTCGCGAACAGTAGTGTTCGTTCATCTTGTCAATTTATCTGCAAAATTAGTGCAATGAATTCCTAAATTTTCTCTTCGATCCTACTTTCAACCTTTCCCGTCTTTCTCCTTATGTTCATCCAAATGGGCAACCAATACCGGCGCACCATAGTGCACGGGTAGTTGTCGCTGTTTGCCGTCACTCGCGGTTGCAGACGTCGACCACATTGGGTGGTACGCCTTTATTTCTCAGTACCATCCGCTCATGGTCATGTCAGCTCCATGGTAAACCGCAATGCATTTGTCAGTGTACAAGGAGTGAAGTACAGTAAAGACACGCGACTGCAATAATCGGCTTTGTATAGAAGTAGGAGGTTAGCGTGCACGGAAATGCGTTTTGTGCAGAATAAGAAACCAACTTTGTACGCAGCACGAGTGGTTACTGTGGATATAAAAGGCGTTTAACAGCGAGTCAGAGATCCATTGGAAGAACAAGAGACGTGTTTAAAAGAGCTAACTCACAACCGGAAATAAACATTGCTTCTATAACCCTAAGTTTAAGTGAAGTCGAAATCGGTGACAACCGTGTACTCAGGAAATCGCGACCATGACCAGCCAAACACTGATTTTGAAGAAAAGATCGTTGGTAAGTGAGTAATTAAGTAAGACAAAAAAACGTACTGTGCTAATCTGGTCTAATCATTCAGGAGCGAGTACCTGGGTACTGGTTGCGTTCTTACCGACTCAGAAGTGATAACAAAAGTGGCAGACAACAGGACGTTGTCTTAACACAATGCCAGTCGGATTAACGGCTTCAGCTCATCTATGTCTATTCTTTTTCGGCACCTGAACGTAGACAATTTTGGGCCAAAATTACATTTCCGTCAGAAAGTTTTGTTATTTGCATCATTTTGTGGTATTTAACGGATGTGGGGACAGTTTAACATGCATATGAAAACTCTGCTCGAGAGAATCGGTGCCCCTGATCCGCCACTAGACATCTCAGATGGGAAGCTCCAGATCATGGTGACTGGTGGTTATATACATCGAGTGATATGTCTCATTGCCGTAAACCGTAGTGCTCGTGCATCTACTCATTATGCTTGCAACCTTTGTCTGCGTAAATTCTTTATCTCTTTGATTCTGCTCGCAATTTTTCATTCTTTCTTCTGCTGTTTTATCCAAATGGGCAGCTATGAAATACCAAGCCAATCCGGCGCACGAGGGTGTATGGTTAATTCTGGCAAAAACCGAACTGAACAGTTATCGTGATACACCTAAAATGTCATTAAATGTTGAACTCCCTTTAGGTTATAGTATCAGAATTCATTTTCATCTTCTTGTCTATTTTCATGATCACTACAGCTCGTCCAACGCCTTGCTACACACAATCCTTGTGCCTCATAGTCCAGTTTCTGGTGAGTTGTCTCTAGACACCAAATAATACCCGTCTTCTTTTCCGATGTTTCTTGTTTTTCGCATTGCGGTTGTCTTGTAGGTAGGCTTAGCATATTTTGAATTCAAGTAAAGTAGCTTCCACTTCAATTCGCCCCCTGCTTTGTGTTTAGTTTGTTGTCAGAACTAAAAGCTTTGGTTCAGAACCTTAACTGTTCTCCTGTTTATCGGTCAGACATTCTGGCAGTACCCGTTCATCAAACCCCATTACATGCACGAAATAAAAATAATTTCATACTGCATCGGTCGTTACGCAGAATAATCAGAACCGCGCTGCCCATTGCATCGAGCAGGTGGGGTAGTGTTAAGTGAACTACTGCTCAGACATCGCAACCTTTGTGTACTTTTTTCACCCGTATTTCAACCTTCTCCCTTTGGCCCTTCTCCCAATGAGTAACTTTCCATCAGACAACATGTGGGTTACTCACTAAAGCTGGCTGGCTGTTTACCACCAGATACAATGCATATTCTGAAACCTCGTCAATCTTTGCATCTGGGATCTTCCATTTGAAGCGTCTGAAGCAGGAGGGTCGACGATCGTGTCCGGGGCGAACAATGTATCCTTTTGGGATTGATTTATGCTGTGTATCGGATACTCGACTCCAGGATTCTGGTACTATAGGCCACATAAGTACGCCATGAGGGAAGCAACACCAAAAGGTGTTTGTTCATCATCTTAGCCTATGCGTCGACCAACTGCATCGCTGACGCATAGAAGAACAAGTTTTGCGACAAACAAACTCATGGAACCGAATGAGCCCAAGCTCTGATAAAGTGATGGATAGGAAAACCGACTGCGTCGAAAGCTTTCCCAAGTGGTGGTTGTGCTCCGCCCTGCAGCGAACAAATAACGACGATCGACTTTTGCAGTTCTGTGCACTACACAATCTTTTCCTGTCTAGTACCAGCTTCAAACACAGCTCTCGCCTGACGACAACGTGGCGCTCCGACGCAACTGGTACGCATTGAGTTTGTTAGGCATCAGTAAAGTTCACCTTGCTGTATTTCGTTGCACACTGACGGTGATTTTGACGAAAACAATAGACTTCATGTGAATTTGTAGCGTACTTTGCGGAATGTGGAGATCAAGTTGACGCATATAATAGTTTACAGAGTACCGTACGACCGTTTATCAACCTTAACTCACGCCAACCAAAGTGAAAGTCACTGAACCACTAGCTATCTGGAATACTGGCGTTACTCCATGTGGAAGGGTTCCCTGAGATTTCGAAACACTTGAAGACAGTTCTCTTTTTACTTGAACTATATCCTGGGTGACATCGACGCCTACAAGTTAATTCCATTGTGCGTCAACCAGAATTTCCGTCAAATTAAATCGATCAAAATGACCAACGGATCGGAACATATTTCCGATGGTTAAGAACTGATACCTGTGTATCACTGCCCTAATAAAGTGAAAACCCTTTATTGAGGTTATGCTATTAATAAACCGAATCAGGTAGTCTATGAGATTTCACTATCTGTGAAAGTTTTTGTCACTAGACTGTTTCATACATTCGGACTATGTTCCACGTAAATAACAACAGCAGTCCTACCTTTAAGGAATTGGGTTCGTGATTTGTGCTTGTGTGAAATACTGGCGTTTTGCCAACAATTTTTTCCTTGGGATTGATAACGGGAACTTTCGTTTAACCGAACCCTGTCCCGAAAGGCAGCTGAACGGTGGTAAAACTGCACTCTTTTCCAAGGTCCTCATCCACTCATCCTATTGTGGACGGTACCCAATCATACTGGTAACCATTGCCACAACCACAAAGATGCGACAGTTGAACAATGACAGTATTGTATTTGCTAAAAAAGTGCGATCTATTTTCCATTTTTGGATTGAATCTGTCTACCGTTCGATCTCTATCTTCTTTCTGCTGGTTTCCTTTGGTTTTTATCTGCAGTACCGTACCGTGGAATTACGAGACCCGAAGTCGGATGTGACAATCACATCGATTTCTTCTCCGTTGTTGAATGAACTGAAAATGTTTGTCAATAACGCTCGAAAGTCCCCGATCCATCATACTGTTTTCGACGCGCTCCTCACGCAATGTCCGGTAAGTTGTTGATATTCTGTTCTGCATTGCGTAAGTTGAAAGCTGACAGCTTAACTGTCACGGCAAACAGTTGATCAACACTAATATGCCTATCTACTCGAGAAAAAAACAATTTCACTGTAGTTGAACAAAGTGCTGACTACAGTTTTAAATAACAAATAGGTCGCTGATTCGCTACGAGCTGGTTATGAACCGGATTTCTCTAAAAAACCTTGTGTGATTTAGGAAAGGGTTGCATTCACTTATCGGGAGTATGAGCCACCCGGTAGGAGTAGCACCTCTGACGCTTAGGGCTGTCGGCCAATATGGGGTAACCTCTATTCTTTGTTCTCCATCAGGCGCCCAGCTCTCACCTGCCGCTCCAATAGGCTATCTGGATGCAACACTGTGCACGCCGCGTTAAATCACTCGACAAGCGGGCCAAACCAAGTTGAGGGTAACCGGGAGCTCCGCTTCCGGCAAGTTTGTGTTTAACCAATGAATGCGGTAATAGCTCGTTGAGCGAACAAAGTTGCTTGCACGACTCAACGGTCCTGGCGATAACTCAGAACTCACTGTGGATGCATGGAGCGCTATTCAGCTAGAAACTGTCGATTGCGTGTTAACCCTCCCTCCGGAAAACATGCGCTATCTCCCTGCAGCCTTGCACGTAGCAGTTAGATTCCCAAAGGCTAGAGATGCCACCTCGACATAAAGCCGAGTGATGCTAGAGACGTTTCATGTACCTAACTCCCGTGAAATCTCATGAGATATCCATGAAGCCGGCTTAGTAAAGTAAGTAGTATTGCTGCTGGATTAAGTCGCTGACACCAGCCCGTTTTGGGCTCTGGGGTTGGAAATTTGAGCCCCGTCACCGTCACCAAGCTTTGGTGATAGGCGTCCTTGTTGTCGCACAGCTCAATATCACGCCTAACCTAGCGGGTTCAGCACTTCAAGTCCCGGGGTTTAAACTGCCGGTTTCCATAACTGAACAGCAGGTCCCGCAACTATGGGGTTTATCCTGTCTACTGTTTATCGCACATAAGGTATGTAATCTGAAAAAATAGACCAAAATAATTTACAAATTAACCATGTTTCTGTTCAAACCGCTTGCCAATTCACACACACTAAGTCTGCATCATTTTCCTGAGGTACATTTCACTTCTTAGTAGTTATTTTAACCCCCCACATCCCTCATTTACTCAACCGCAGACTACGCAAAGTTTGTTTTTCGAAATTGCATCGTGTTAATACTGCGAAGTCGGATTTCTCCGGTACGTTTATCTAATACTAACCGTTTTCAACACTAAACCCGTTTCCATTCGCAGTCTGTTGCAATCCATTAACGACTGTCAAACCCATGATGATTATGGCTGTGATCGCACATTACTAATCATAGCGAATATTCTCACCAAGCAGAGATTCTTTCACTTTATTGCTTTTGGGCGAGTTCTCATTGTACTGTATCTTTGAATTAAATCCCTAATGATGCTTATATAGGAAGTCATCGTACTTCACCGATTGAAGTCCAAAGCCATCAAGGGAGCCAGCATTCCGGAGTGGCGGGGGGGATCTACTTACGATTCAACCCATGACGCCCAAAGTGTGTATGAAGTATTTTGCAAGATATTTGATGGTTTTTTCCTGTCCGGTGCGTTTGGGTTTGAGTGATTTTGTGACTGTTTGTAGCGAAACACGAATTCGAACCGATTGCCCGTTTAGTAGGTATCGAGAAATAGTTAACTGGACAGAAAATGGGCATATATGGATCTAATGTAGACTTGTCTTCCCTTCCTCACCGGGTTGTTTTTTACCCGATCCATTCTGGGTGATCATTGAGCATCCGGTTATGGAATCTTACCTTGGAATCGAATATAATCCATCTATCTAGGTCGTTCCATTTATCGTAGTTGGGTCAATGTTACTTTCCCACAACGGACCACCCCTGTCAACTTTTTCAATGATCTCATCTTCATGGTGGGAGCCAAGTTTATTGTCTTTCATTTATTTTACCAGGGATATCTGAATGAAGACATGTGTGTATTGTAATACTGCGTTCTGATCCGTTTTCTGATATAAATCTTATTTTGGATGAAACTAGCACACACTGGTCGCCCCGTGAACCTGTCCTCTTCAGCGTTTGCGAATAATCATCCACCTAATCACGATAGATCTTAAACATGTTTTTATTCCGTCTCATTGATTATTTATCGCTGCGAGTGATGGAAATAAAACCTTACTGATAGTCGACTGATGGCACGTATTAATTTAACTTTTTTCTCTGTGTAGTGCATTCGTGTTGTTTTATTCTGCACCTCTCCTTATACAGCCTTTCACTACACACGCAGCCAAAGTGATTTCCCATGCTCTGGAGGAGTTTTTAATCAAATGTGCCACCGATCAGAAGCCGAACAAAGCTGAGCAGTTTACTTGCATGCAGTGTCTCAGTCTGTTTACTCATGTGTTCAAGTGGCTTACTACTGAACGTGATCCGGAGATGATGCGGTCGTTGCGCCAATTACCAGAACGAGTGCTCACTCGATTATGGGCCGCATTGGAACCATTTATCTCCGCGGGCACTGCTGAATCAGTGAACGGTTCATTTTGGTTCAGTTCTGTTTCCTTCTCCACCACACTGTTCACGCTACTCCAGTGGGCCGTAACTGCAGCTGAACGAGTTGGACGACCCCAAGTACATGAGTTTATCAACCACTGCATCTCTGTCTGTTATTACATGGCTTTGTAGTAATATCAGAAGCGAGAAATTATATCACCATTTTTATAATTGTGCTACAACCAATTTAGATTCAGCAGATTCTGAGAAGCACTCAAACTCATTTGATTTTCATACACACTTGATCTTGACAGTTAACCAGATTTCGATCAACTCGAGAATCACCAGCTCATATCAATGGCGCTGTGCCCGACGGACGTTTGTGGATGTGCCCTTCATTAAAAGATTATCTGCAGTTCCTTTAA